AAACCCAAATGCTTATGGTAGACATACAAAGGATCATATCTAAACAAAGCAGTCCTTGAGAAGACTATTTTTCTCTATTTTCTCAAAAACATTTTCAAATGTTATTATAAATTGCTTTCATCTAAAGTATACACCTAACACCTGGCATGTTATAGCAGCTCTCTTGGCCTAAGCTTTTTATTTTGGAGAAGAAAATATAAAATCTACAAAACTGTCATCTTCTAACTCTCTGCAAGCTACTTAATAGAAATAGATGCTGTGAAAACCTATTTGGATTCTTTAGGCAGCTCATATGTAACAGTAAGTGTTTTGATATCAATAGGTCTGTTCCCAGGTCTATAACTTACTTTACTTGGGAAATGAAGATCTGCTAAAAAATGTAAAAGGTGTAGACATTAAATTGAGTCTAAAGACTTTTCAGGATTACTCAAGGACAAGAAATTACAGAGACTGGAAGTCCAGTGGAAAGGGGTTAAGACAAATCTGGAGCTGATTCCCTTATATAAGTTATTAAACTTTTCTGAGTATGGCTTACTCCCTGTTTAAAATAAAGATGATATTGCGACACTTTATTGGATTATTGCAGAGACCAAATAAGGCAAACTATGTAAAGCACTTTGACATATGTGAATATTAGATTTTTTTTCTTGACCTTTGAAGATCATGGGCAATAGATTTTTTGAGTTTATCCACTCATTGATTCATTCACTTATTTAATAAATATTTGTGAAACTTGTACTCTAAAAAATAAGTCATTATACATCTTCTCCCCCACCCCCAAGTCCTTATGGTTTGGTAAATGGTGGATGATGTTTATACAAGTATACAATGCCAGCATGGAGTAAATGCCACAGGGTTATTCCAGGCTGATTCACAAGGAAAAGTTGGCACTTAAATTTTTATTGGGAAGAACTGTTAGAATACCAATAACTTATGAAAATTAATTCTAGAAGAATGAACTGTAAGGAGTAAACCATGCAAGCAGAAGCTTTCTTGTGAAATAAGATAGCACAGTATGTACCCTAATGTAAGGTAACGTCTCCCAAAACACTACCTTTCAGAAAGAGGTTGTAGCCTTATATTCAACTCCTATAAATATTATGAAAGATTACAATATAAAAAGTATTTTTAATGGATATCATAAATATACATGAGCAGTACAAATAAAATGACAAACTTCCCTAATATATGTTAATAGATACTTACATCTTGAGATTAAAACCTCTGAAATAGATTGAAAGAAGTGTTGTATCTCAACCAACTTGGATGAACATGAATATAGTAAACTTGAAATGTTGACTTTGATGTAGAATAAGATTTTAAATTCTTCAATGATAAAGCAACAATTTAAATACATCTAAGCCTATCAACACACTGGGGCATAGATAAATAGTAGAAAATGAAGTTGAAAGTGTTGTTTGGGCTCAAATAGTGGAAGGCTTTAATTGACTTGCAAGGTAGCCAGAACATGACTTTCATGTTGCTGTCAATGGGAAGCCACTGCTGATATTTGAGGAGGAAAGGGGCTGATCACTTGACTAAGTTTTAAAAAGACTAATCTGGCTATAGACAGTTGAAAGGAGGATTTGTAGGGCTTCCAAATATGGACCTAACTGCTACTTCCAATGGGGGATTATTAAGGGTGGATACTGAGGATGAAAAAAATAGATATACTGTACATAAATACCTATATAATTTGGCCACTAGACAGTAGGGGATGATTCCCTTGACCTTTTGTCATCACAATATGATTAATCCCCAGGGCCTAGAAAGGGCTACAATAAATATTTATTGTTGAAGGATGGATTAAGGGTAACATACTTTTAAGTTGAAAGAAAGGGAGAAATGTAAAAGGGCAGAATTTATGACTGTGAATTAAAGTTTAATTTTTAATCTTTTGGATATTCAAAGAAGGAACCATAGAATCTGGAATTGAATCTGGAATTGGGGATGTGACTATGAAGTAGAATATATCTCAGCTTTCACAGACTACTAGACTAGCTGATTATCTTGCACTGTACTGGGCCATTGCTTTGACAGCAGTTTGTCATCTATCAAGTCTTTATGTTCTTTGTTTCAATTTAAGACCTTTTCCTCATCTTTTCTAGCGGTGAATACTTCCTATCACTCTCAAGCTCATATAAGGCTTTCCACTTCACATTTGTTCATTAAGACAGGATCTAGACAATACAAAATTAATTCAAACATAATTGGTCAAATCATTTGATTTCAAGGTAAATGACTAACTGAAGGTGTTACTTTTTTATTGCAACACTGTGGAAGTATTAGCTGCATAGCAATCCAACTTCTAGAAATTCAATCTCAATCACTATAGGTGGCAGAAATAATTAAAGTCACTTGATTTTCTTCACTAACTTTCACTGACCAAGAGCAAAGACTTAAAAACCTGTGTAACCTTGGAAGTACGAGCTAAAATACAAAGACTGGATTTGAATTGAGATTAAAAACTTAGGCAAAAATTCTCAAGGAAACAGTTTGAGACAGATGATGAATATAAATATCTCGATTTAGAGAAAAAAGCAAAGTAACACTTTGATCTTATGAAAATTAAAAAAAAAACCTTTGAAAAATTTCAGGAAGCTAATAAAATATTCTCAACACACTTAAAAACATTCAAAGGTATTTACTTCTGTCTGGTTTCAAGATCAGCTCATCAAATAAAATATATTCTATACAATAAACTAATCATCATTTTGTGAGAATAATATACTTTAGGAACTAGTCACTTACAAAACAGGGTTAATGGAATGGACAATCAAATTTTCTTTTATGGTTGGCTACTGTAGATAAACACCTGGCTCTACTATCCAAAATACACTAATAGGTTTTTTGAACCAACTAGTCAACTTAACATACTTGGTAAAAATAGGTCAGTTTGAGAAGAAAATTTAACAACTAGAATTTTCTCAGCCTTGCCTGCTATTACAGTTACCTGGGGCTCTTTTAATTACTCCTGCATGTGGTCAAGTTTTCTGGATGCTTAAGTCAGAATCCCTGGAGCTAGAGATACCAGAAAGGAAATTTTTTAAAAAGTACCTTGTAAAATCTCACCCCCCCCCCAAAACAAAGTACTGAGGAATAAACCTGACCAAGAAGGTGAAATAAGCCCACAAACCTATGCTCAATTCATCTTTGACAAAGGAGGCAAGACTATACGATGCAAAAAAAAAGTCTGTTCAGCAAGGGGTGCTGGGACAGTTGGACATATGCATGTAAATCAATGAAGTTAGAACACATCCTCTCACCATACACAAAAATAAACTCAAGATGGTTTAAAGACTTAAACATAAGACATTGTATCATAAAACTGCTAGAATAGAGCATAGGCAAAACATTCTCTGACATAATTTGTATCAATATTTTCTTAGGTCAGTCTCCCAAGGCAACAGAAATAAAAACAAACAAATTGGGCCTAATCAAACATACGAGCTTTTTGCACAGTAAAGGAAACCATAAACAAAATGAAAAGACAACCTACAAATGAGAGAATATATTTGCAAATCATGTGACTGACAAGGGCTTGATTTCCAAAATGTACAAACAACACATACAACTCAATGACAAGAAAACAACCCAATTAAAAAAAAATGGGCAGAAGACTTAAGTAGCCGCTTCTCCAAAGACATTCAGATGGCCAATAGGCACATGAAAAGATGCTCAACATCACTATTTATTAGAAAAGTGCAAAATCAAAACAACGAGATACCATCTCATACTAGTCAGAATGGCCATCATTAAATATAGATACCAGATGGTGGAAAGAGCATGGAGAAAAAGAAACCCTCCTATATTGTTTGTGGGAATGTATTGAATAAGTTGGTGAAGCCACTGTGTGGAACAGTATGGAAGTTCCTCAGAAAGCTAAAAATAGAAATACCAAAAAAAAAGAAATACCAAATGATCCAGCAATCCCAGTCCTGGCCATACATCCATACAAAACTTTAAAAAAATACATGCACCCCTATATTCATAGTAGCACTATTCCCAATAGCCATGACATGGAAAAAAATCTATATGTCCATTGGCAAATTAATGGATAAAGAAATTTTTAAAAATAAATATACGATGGAATAGTACTCAGCCATAAAAAAGCATGAAATAATGCCATTTGCAGGAACATGCTTGGACCTAGACATTAACACAGTAAGTGAAGTAAGTCAGAGAAAGACAAAAATATCCTACAATATTACTATATGTGAAATCTAAAATAAATAAATGAAACTGTCTATGAAACAGACTCATGTAGATATAGAACAGATGTGTGGTTGCCAAGTGGGAAGGCGGTAGTAGTTGTAAGCTTTTATATATAGAATGGTTAAATAACAAGGTCCTACTATATACAGCATTGAGAACTATTTTCTATATCCTGTCCCCATAATGGAAAATGAAAAAGAATCTGTGTGTGTATACATTTGTGCATGCTGAGTTGCGTCCGACTCTTTGTGACCCTATGCTCTATAGCCTGCCAGGCTTCTCGTCCATGGGATTCTCCATGCAAGAATACTGGAATGGGTTGTCATTTCCTTCTCCAGGGTATGTGTATGTATTTGTGTGTGTGTATGAACTGAATCACTTTGTCTAACAGCAGAAATTAACACAACATTGTAAATCAACTACACTTAATTAAAAAAAAATAAAAAAGAATCTCTGTGACTAAGTCCTGGTACTAAGAGGTACCAGGAATTTCCAGTGTGTTAAACTGGTACTGATCTAAATCAAAATTGTAAAATGGGAAAGCCCTGACTAATGATTTGCCTCGTATACCTGTGATATTATATGAAAGCCAAATACAAAGATGTTATTTCAAATGAGGACAATAAAGATAATATTCTCCCACTTCAACTATTTAGCAATTCTAATATTGGTGATTATTTGTGAGTTTAAGTGTCTTGTTATAATGACCAGATTTCAACATAAGTTTTCTTTTAGTATAATATGCCACCAGTGAAAATATAAACTTTTTACTAGTTAGTACTTACCAAACAAGGTAGGAAGTAAATACTAGGAAAATCATGATAAGAAAACCACCACCTGAAACGCCATAAACCCAAATTTTCACTCGGCCATCTGTTTAAAATAAAAAATAACAGGCTTAGCATACAAAAGCTTTTATTTCTCATTTAATTAGTGTATTATTTATTTCTCATCTGAATTCTGAGATTTGCAGAAGTCAGAAGCATATGTGGAAACACATGCGACAGCTATCAAATGTCCAAAAAAATAGGTGAAAATATTAAATATAGGCTATCAATTTTTTTCACAATGCCAAAGACCAGCAATTAGTACTTCATAAAATCTAACAACTGGCAGGATATTTTGAATTTATTTTCATTTATATATACTTCTAATACAAAAGTATTACAAAACATATCCACATGTAGAAGTATATATTATTTTGGATTTGATATCTGCAAGAGGTTAAAAAAAAAAGAACCAAATAGTCTGATCTATTTTGTGATTTTTAACTATATGACATACACCTTGACTGTATGTATAAATTTGAGTTGTTTCTGGAAAACACATGCTTTTTGCTAAGTTTTACATGAGCACACAGTTAATTAAACTTAGAATTGCACTGATAATAGCAATGCCTTAGCATCCCAAAAGGAATTATTCCTTTCTGAAAGATGCACACACAAAGGTTCATTATACTACATTGAATGTAATTAACTGTTGGTCCAAAAAAAAACACATATCAGAATCTTATTCTAAAGACGTTCATGGGATAAAAAACAAAATCTATTGTAAACATTTGTTTGAAAGAAAATCACTATTACTTTCAATTATATTGTGACTATGTATTACAGTTTTTGCTTACAAGACACTTTCAAGCCTCAATCGAGTTTTAGAATGAGTTTTCAACATAGTAGTGACATTTTTTTTTACGGTCATAAAACTTTTAACAAAGCTTTGATTTTGATCTTTTTGAAACACTAATGATGTGATCCCCTATTCTGAATTTTTTACATTTGCAATTAAAAAAAGTCTTCCTTAAGTAAGAATGCATCTTTCATCTTATTACCCCTAAACCTCAAAGAGCTGATGTATTGTAAGATCCAGTGCTTTTAAATCCCTATTGCAGAGGTATGTGATCTGGGTGACCTTTAAATCATGTTACTTAAAGAAGAATTAATATAGCTGTTTATAAGAAGCTGTGTAGCACAGAGGGCTTAGCTCTGTTCTCTGTAGTGACCTGGATAGATGCGATGAGGAGGGAAGTCCAAGAAAGAGTGGATATATGTGTGCATGTGACTGATTCACTTTATTGTACAGCAGAAACTAACATAACACTGTAAAACATTTATACTATAATAAAAAATAATTTAAAAATATATATGTGGTGGAAAATTAGTCTTCCTACCTGAGCTCCCTCCCCAGATGCTATCATTGTTATCAATTTATGAACCATCTCATAGTTTTCTCTGCAAATGCAAGCAAATGAGTATATATACAACATGCATGCCCTTTTTAAAAAAGACACAAATGGTCCTTATCATTCACTTTGGTACTACTTTTCCACCTAACAATACATATTAAAAATATTTCCATGCTAGTTCATAAAGGGAGGTCCATCTCATCCTTTTTAATACCCCTAAGAGACATTACACAGTTGTATCATATTTTTTTTGTTATTCTGTTTGTAGAGATTTATGTTATTTCCATTCATTTTTTATATAATAAGCAATCATATAATTATTTACATCCTTCTCTTAGTATATGTGTGTATATATGTATGATAGGTTTTGCCTAATTGCCTTACTGAGAGGTTGCTCAAATTTTCAACCCCATTATGAGAACCCAATGAAAGTTATAAACTTTCTCCCAGACTAAATATATATTTTACATATATGTTTATATACATACATATGTATACAAGTGTATATATGAGTATACATATATATATGTATCTGTGTTTATGTATATATGTGTACACACATGTATCATCACATACATGGTATTAATGCTTTAGTTAGGTTTCCAAAGTTTAAGGACCTCATTTGTGGATTTGAAAACTCATTTCCTTGGAACCTCATCCTAATTCTCTCCCTGAAATAGGGTCTACAAGCAATGAGTGAGCCTGGTTGCATTTCATAGCATGCTTCCCTCAACTTTAAGTCTGTTTCTCTAAATTAGCTAAACATCACAGAATGAATATGATTTTTAATATCTACGGCATGCCCAGATGTACTTGGGAACCAAAACTTAAGTTATTGTGGTCATCCTTATAAGCTAGTCTCAGAATGTCCTGTTTCTCCCACTAGATCTAGGGTCCTTTGTGTCTGGGCTTTAGTTTGCTTCATTTAAGCATGTCATCAGGGCACTTTGGTACGACCAAGGCTTCGGGTCTGGGCGGAAAGTTCCCAAGGTATGTTTTGTCTGAGCTTCATGTGTGTCTTCCCTCTCAAGGTTCCTTCCATCAGTCATGCTATCTCCCTCAGTCATTCACAGCACTTTGTTTTCTGGAAGAGGTATGTACATTAGGCACAGAGAATTTTGCTTTCATATTTTTGTGCAATTCTTAAAGAGGGAAGTAGACACCAGTGCTGTGTAAGGATCTTACTGGCTTGCCTTTCATACCTTCCTGTCACTTACTGGTGGTGTGACCTTGGTCAAATTAGTTTGCATTGCCAGTTTCAGAATCCTAATCTCTAGAGTGGGGATAACAACATCTCATTATGTTGCAAGAATGTAATGAGATGAGTCATGCAATACAACCAGCATGGAATCATAGGGTACAGAGAAATTATCTAATACTGTTCGTTCTTATCCTTGATCTCCACTAAGTTTTGAGTCCTGTAGGCCTGACACTGTACTAATACTCATGAAAATGCTGCAGGACAGATGCCTAGATTGATTCATAGATGAGGTAAAGAAATTACATGCAATCACAAAGCGGGTACCTCTGATCCATGATACACATAAGGTCTCTTGGCCTCTGAAATTGATGCTGTTTTACTATATCACTAGTGTTTCTCAAACCAGTTAGGGTACCTAGAATTTCCCTACATAACTCCATGTTCCTGAGAATCTATTCCTTTTCTTGTTTTTCAATTATATATAAAACTTCACAGTGATAAAGTCTTTGGCAAAGATAATTTACAATTCAAACATTTTCAAAGATTAATATTTTGTTTCCTTAACTCAGACTGGGGTTGACAGACTTATTCTCAACCACCCATGAAAACGTTTTACACTACATGGCACTCAAGCGGGAGAAAGCTTGAACTAAGATCATATTGCCTTTTCTGTCCCTTCTTCCCTCCATGCTTTCCATCACGAGCAGTGGTCACGATATGAACTCTAATCCCCCAAGAGAAAATTTACATTTCTTACTCATAACTGATATGTACCTGGATCAAGGGGTTGGAGAGACCATCCTTTAAAAATATCATGTATTTTTGAATTCACAGGTCTGTTTTTCCCAGCAAGGTTTTTCACATCAGCTTTTTTATCCTCTGAGCCTGGTACCTTCATGCAGTAATCCAGGAGACCATTTGATCTCATGATCTCTGTATAGCCTTTCTCACAACCACAGACTCCACCCTACAGCATGAAAAATACATTTATGATTACACAGTGAGTGTATAGATGAAAAAAATAACACCTTAATTATTGGAACTGCTTAATAGTTGCATGATATGTCATGGCAATTTAGGGTTTTTCAGCAGCAGACTTGGCAAAGAGATGAAAATTCAATAAATAGTTCATCTTTCTGATTTCCAAAGTCAGCACTTCAATAAATCATCAGTTCTTTCTAGTGGTTGATCATTCTTACACCTTCCAAATTGAAACCATAATTTTTTGTCAATAGAGAATATGAACTACATCCTTTTCTCTCTTATAGAGGTGTTTAAAGCTTTAATTAAAAATTTACTTCGGTTCTTCCCCCAGCTATTTCAGATTCTTGCCTGCTTACTCCAATCTGTCCTTAACATTGAGAAGCAAAGCAACAGAAATTATGTGCATATCTTCTCTGAGTTTTGTGCTCTTTGAGGTCTCTTTCTGCCTCTATCATCTTCTACCATTGATCACGAACTAGACTGAACTGGCTCTCCACTCATAGACTTAGTTCTGCACTAAGAGGAGACAGTCCGAGGCTGTGAAGGGGGAAAAAAAAAAAAACAAAAAACTTTGCCAAAAGCATATGTCCACAAGAGGGAAGAAAGACAGAGAGATAGATATCTTGAAGTAACCTGAGTGTCACAACACATCATCAAATTCCTAGTTTCATCATGACAATGGGTCTTTCATATTTGTCTGTGGATTTCTGGTAATTTTCATGCACAATAAGCCTTTCAAAGAAACTGATAATGATACAATGTAATGGACAAAGATTTTCTATCTGTCTTTGGAAGTGAAACTGAAATAACTGCTCTTCCTTCCTCCAGGAAACATAAAGGCAATAGAGGAGAATAGAAAATAAGCATGAGATTATGAATCTCTATGACTTTGCTATTAGGATTCCTTACATAAAACTATGGTATTTTCTCAACATACCTTAGCCTCAAACGGTAACTCATATCAATCTTTATGCATCAGCCATATATACTTACTGGTTCCAAATAGGGGGAAGGGGTACGTCATGACTGTATATTGTCACCTGCTTATTTAATTTATATGCAGAGTATATCATGAGAAACACTGGGCTGGATGAAGCACAAGCTGGAATCAAGATTGCAGGGAGAAATATCAATAACCTCAGATATGCAGGTGACACCACCCTTATGGCAGAAAGCAAAGAACTAAAGAGCCTCTTGATGACGGTGAAACAGGAGAGTGAAAAAAATTGGCTTAAAACTCAATATTCAGAAAACTAAGATCATGGCATCTGGTCCCATCACTTCATGGCAAATAGATAGGGAAACANCCAAAAATTAGAAGTTAAAAAAATATAATTAATAAATGCCTAAATTTTAGGCAGAGATTGTATAATGACAGTTATCATTATAAATATTTCCAGTGGTTTTAATTAAAGACATTACTCAGTGTTCGATGGGGAGAAACTAATGGAGAAAATTGGTACAAGCTCAGATATGAAAGCCATCTTTTCAAGATGTGTCTCTATTTAGCCTGAATGAAAAGCTGTAACCAGTTATATAGGACAAAGGTTCAAGGGAACAGGTATTTTATGTTTATTACAGAGGGTATCCAGAGAGTTGGGGAGAAGCCACAACTGCTATTTCACAAACATCATTAGCCCATGAAGTCGGTGCTGATCTCTTTTCCTTCTTTTTTCCACTGGCAACTTAATCCCTAGCTTTCCTGTGTTAAAGAATTAACCTACTTCTACTTGAAGTAGATGGTCCATAAAATAGAATGGAGCATTTGAATAATTTTAACCAAATCATTTTTGGAAAGAACACACTATAAGAAGAAACTTCTTTCTTTGAGAGACAGGGCGCACCTTTCTTCTATATACACTGTACACTTTGAGAGTCACTGATTAGAATACATGGTACATTTTGCACTAAATCCTGAGCAGTAATGGGTGGGAATTAAGAAAAAGGAGAAACATTTCTGCTTTAAAAAATGTATATATATACACACACATAATTATTACCCATAACCATACTATCAGCTTATTTAAAATCAACTAAAATTTATACACACTAATCACAGTGTAATCAATTTTAGTACCTAATGTTTAGCAAACATGAACATATCTTTTTAAAGATTTTGCAAAATAGTTTAGGTATATGAAAGGCTAAGAATGAAGGAAATAATCAGAGGAGAAAGAGAGCTAACAGAGATTAGATATCTGAAAGAGAGGTTAGCTATAGAAGACTGCTTTCTTGAACACATGGCCGTGCAAAGAAATTCTTAATAGCTGTGATTACTTCTGCAAATGCCTCTAGGTGGTATCATGGGCCCATGGAATTGCTGCTTGGGATAAAGGAGACTGGAAAACATCAGACAACATACATATAACACAATTAAATTACCTGTCCAAGGCTCTAGCACCTGACTCACCTGTGTGCAGTAGGAGAAAGGTTTTCTGCAAGCTGGGTTACACTGCCGAATAGCAGCAGGGCGTGCCTGAGGGGAGCAGCCTCCTACAAAGGAAGTCCCACCATCATCCACAGATTTTTCAAGGGTAAATATTCACTTCTTTTCCTCTCTGACACTGGCTACCTTGTAACAGTATTATTTTTCAAAAAAATCTGTTTGCGGACAGTGTGGTTGTTTCATTTTGTTGACTATTCTAGGAAAGGCTGTTTGAGATGGGAGGCTCTGCTAACAGAAGTTGTTTACAGTTGAGATTTTATACCTGCGTGTTGGCCAGGTGATTCTATCATATGGCTTCACTTGAGGGCAAAGCCTGTGAGTGTCAGGATCAGTAAAAGAATTGATGAAATCTCAACTGAAGTTCAGTAGCAGAAAATATATACGCTCAAAGATCTGTCTACTTAGTTTTTTTCCAGCTCCCAAACTAGGCACTAGACCAATTTCCAACAACCAAATACTAAAAGAATGCCACTAGTCCATTCATGAGACCACAATATTAAACATTTTGGTAACATTTTAAACGTATTTCAGCCAGAATACATACATATACACACATGCAGAGTCACACACAGATTGCCACACGTATTTTTAAGAGCAAATGTATACACTCCAGCAGGGATAATCATACATCTGACACTAGTACTTGCAGGTCCTTATTAAAATAGCTTTGAGTAACTAGATGGAATACTATGTCTATAATCTAAAAATCATTTCTATATTAGTCGTGCCTTCCTGGATTCAAAGTACCAGCAAAGAAGTTGACATATTATCAAGGGCACCGTTGAAGCCACATTTATATACCACTGGTTGCATTTATAGGTTCTAGTCTCTGCATTATTATAATTGTCAACCAATTATATAGTATGTAACCATAACATAAAATTATGATTTTGTAACTAGAGAAAATTTTGTGCTTAAGGCTGTGTAGGGAGTTGCATCTACATTTTTCTGAAGAATGACATAGCTAAAATCTGTTGCTTGAAAAATAATTTCCGCAGGGGAAAAAAACAAACCACCAGGATCCAGAATGAGCAGGTAGGTGTGAAATTGATCATGTGTTAGTGGCAGTAACCACACAGCCTTGTCACTGCCAACAGAGTTTGGAGATGGTGTTTTTTCCTCCTTAAACCAGGGATCTCCACCATGCAGTCTGTATACTCCATGGGGAGAAGGTCACCTGAGAGCCAGGAAAAGCATGTTAGAATTTGTATATTTTAGCCAACATTTTACATTTTAGCAATGATATTAAGCTGTGATAATACTTGGCAGGTGACACTGGTAACCTGAGCTCATTCATCAGGTGGCCCTGGGATGTCCACCAGCCACGAGGTACTCCACGCAGAGAATCTGGAAGTGGAACCCTCACCGGTTGGTAAACTCTCAGCACACTGCAGCAAGTGATGCTTTCTGTGTTCCTGGTTAGGCAGACTTACAGTATATTTAGTTTTAACATTAACTTACACAATGGGCAAGTCACTTAAAATAAATGATTATATGGAAAAACTATGGGTTAAAGGGACAACCAATAATGAAAAAACAAGTAAGCTAGAAAAAGGTGAAGCAATCTTTCTATTCCAATAGAAAAATCAAGATTCTTCTATTCTGACAAGCTCTTAGCCCTGGCACTAAGTAAAAAGAATGACAATTTGATTTTCTTTCATAAGAAGGCATCGAAGCAAACCCCTTTAAAATGATTGAGAAGACCATTTGTAGAATCTAATTGCATTCACTGTCATGAACGAGGAACCCTTCCTCCAATATATATTCAGATATTAAATAATAATCTAGGCTACCACATTGTTAAAATATGAAACTTTCAGTACATGAACATAAGCATCTATAATTTACAGGAAAATGTTTTTAATCATTAATATATTTTAGCTTTTATATCTTTATCAAACTTTTAATTTCAATTTCTGTATATGTTTCATAACATGGTACATTAGCACAGTAGTGTGGGATTTTAGGATATTTTGAGGTCTGTTCTCAAATACCTTTTACTGAAAAGGTACATCTTTTAAAATTTTATTAGAGACCATTGTTTTAAACCAACATCTGTGTCTTTCAGTTTTTGTCTTAGACCATGATATTCAAGGAAATTTTATTATGTATCAACTGATGCTGAAGCAGAAACTCCAATTCTATCGCCACCTGATGCGAAGAACTGACTCCTTGGAAAAGACCCTGATGCTGGGAAAGATTGAAGGTGGGAGGAGAAGGGGACGACAGAGGATGAGATAGCTGGATGGCATCACCGACTCAATGGACATGAGTTTGAGTAAACTCTGGGAGTTGGTAATGGACAGTGAAGCCTGGAGTGCTGCAGTCCATGGGGTCACAAAGAGTCGAACACGGCTGAGCGACTGAACTGAACTGAACTACGTTAAGTTGTCTGATATACTGTGTGTGTGTATGCTCAGTCACTCAGTCATATCTAACTCTTTGTGACACCATGGACTGTAGCCCACTAGGCTTCTCTGTCCATGGACTTCTCCAGGCAAGAATACCGGAATAGGTTGCCATTTCCTTATCAAGGGGATCTTCCTGACTCAGGGATTGAACCCCTGTCCCCTACGGCTCCTGCACTGGCAGGTGAATTCTTTACAATTGTGCCACCCGGGTAGCCCATCTGATATATTATGGGACTTCATATAGAACGGTTTGCTTTCTAGGATGCAAAGATCTAATGGCAACTTGCCATGAAGCTCATCTAAGTCCACTCCCCAGTCTTCCCTTGCTTATAATTTTTAAGCTAATTCTTCTCACCAACAGCAACACTCAGAGATCTTTCTGAAGTGCCCACATGAATCTTAGGCAGGAATACCTGTGACGTTAATGCCATCTGAACGTTGGCACCACACAGTTCGTTCATTATTGTTCCAAAGACTTGCTTTCCATGTGTAGTGATAACATTTACCTCCTGCAAGTAAATACGATAACAGCGGTTCTATTATGCCTCAATCAAAGCAGAATAAGTATTGATCAATCAAGGCTGAGAGTTGAAAAGTGCTTTGGTACCTGTACAAGGGCGTGTTTCTAGAACCTGCTGGGGGCAGCTGTCTTGGTTCTCAAAAGACTGAATTATAAATGTCCTTGACCTAGATTGGCGACCCAGAGTCTCGAAGCTTCTTCCGTCAATGCAGGTCAGCTCACACGTGCTCCACGCTGACCATTCTGTTAAATGGCAGTCTCCTGGAGGATCATGCAGCACAGGGCAGAAGAAACCGTGAAAACTGGCCCCTGACCCCGTTTACACACACAGGGCTCACAGTGGGATTCGTGTGGTGCCGCGGTGACCAGGTGCAGTCCAGAAACGACAAGTTCTATGCTGACTAATTCTCTAATTAGAAAGCACTAGGGGTGAGGAAGTAATTTATGGTTTCATCTAGTTGAATGAAAAGTGCCAAGCACTATACTGCCATTATTTTGCCCCAAATCATGGCAGTTTTATCTGGAGAACACTAGTGTCTACTAGTGACAATAAAATTTTTAAAAGGAAGTGTAAAGATTATAGCAACTCAGTTTTTAAAGAGCATCATAACATTATAAAATGGATGTTCACAGAAATTATATAAAGGAAAGAAGTAGAGTAGCTTTAAACTTAAAGAATGGTTCATTTAACAATCCAAACATGCACAATTTGTGTGTGTGTATATATATGTCAATATGTATGAATGTATATATACACACATATATGTTACATGCCATATTATAAGAATACATAAGGATATATTTTGCCACCTTAAGCTTCTGCCATACAAGGTAAGTTGTGTTATTAGGATTAAAATAAACTCATAAATCTTGTGTAACTGAGAATAACCTTCACAATTACATAGAACTTGCTTAACAGAGTGCTTTCATTTTTAGCCTTACTTGTCATCACCATGTCATCAGCCAGGGCTCCTCACTCATGGATTCAGTCAATGTCTTTTGAATGCTGGCCATGTGCTTGGTGTGGTCAGGTATTATTAACACATTTTCTAGATGGAGCAACCACTGCTCAAAGTGACAAGAGTATATGTCTCAGGCAAAATGCCAGTGACGTGATAGTGACAAGATTCTAACTTAGCACTTACATTTCCAAGTCCAGTGCTTCCCCCTGACTTGCCCTGCCAGCCTACTTTGCCTCTATAGAAGCTGTTAGGTATATTCCAAAGTGATAACCAATGATACATGGATTAAAGTTAGTTACAAATTTCAACTTGGATGAGAGAGAACTCCAAAAAACAGAAAAAGAAATAAAAAGGTCACCTTGGAAGGTACTCCCAACCATTTTAAAATTGCCTACCTGGGCAAGGCACTAAACATGGCTGTTTCAAGATGCTGTCTTGAAATGGCATCTCTCTACACAGTGCTTCATCTACACGTACAGTCCAGGAAGATATTGAACCGTTGTGGACCACACAGGAGAGGCTGCGGGTCTGGACTCCTTCCCCACAGTCTCCACCCTGTCAGAGGAAAAGGATGCTGTCAGCATTACCCAAATCAGGAACATCTCAAAGTTTTAGCTCCCACCATCTCTTGGGCAAAAAAAGAACCAAAAAGCAAAAAAACACAGTTGCATATTTCTGCAGCTTCCTTCTCTTGAGAGTTATCTTTCAGTTGTTGACAATAAGGCATCCCTGAGCAATTCTCTTAGAGCTGACAGAGCAACTGAAGCAGAAATGCAAATTTATGCCTTGAAATTTATGCACTCAGAATATGACGATTCATTCTGGAGCTCAGCCAGGACTGACTGAAAAAGAAAAACGATACCTAATTTGTCTAGGTGTATGTGATAAAGTGGCCTAATCCATAATCACTCCCCAAAAGAGCATGTACAACCACAGGGTGTACATTTCTCTTTTGCTTTGCTTGTTTTTCTTTTGTAGGGAATTCAGTACTTTCTCATGTGGATTAGATTGGGGTTTCCAGTAAAACGCTGATTTTCTCAGAATGCCTTCTGTGCTGAATATTATTCTTTGAAGACATTTTATACAAATCCCACTCAGATTATTCTGGCCAATTAGAAAAAAAATGTGCAGGGTCTCACAGAAACAGAGGCTTTGTGGTTATCTAGCTCAACCATCTGCTTGATGAAAGACTTCCTACTCCAACATTTTTAGCAGATACTCACGAGGTGAGTATTATCTCCTCCGTTTTAGTCAGGTGCTCATATTTCAAAAAGAAGTCCATTGGATATTTGGATAACTGGATAACTGGAGAGGGTAGTTTTGTGGCTTTTTTTTTTTTTTTTCACAAATGCCCTAGAAAACAGAGCCCAAGGCAAAGCTTCTATACTAAGGAGGTGAAATCCCAGGGGTGCAAGAGTGAGGCTGAGCAAGCCATCACAGGTGCAGAGGAAAAGCAAATATCAGGTAGTGTGTTGTCAACTGGCCTCAACTTCATAGTAAACACAGCTGGTTTCTTGGTCAATCACAACGTTGTTTAGACAGGCCACATGGATCATACAAGATGTGGTGGTAGGAAAAAGGGAGAGGCAGGTCCTCCATGGATCCAGTTCTCATTGATCAGCTGTCACCCCAGGGAAACTTCCATATACTTCCAAGGTATATTACTCAGCTCCCACTACCAGGAAATAGGTGGAAGACCAAGTTTTTATGATTACTTCTGGTATAGATGGAGAGAAAGAACATTTGCACAGACTCTGTTGCTGCAGACAAGGATGCTACATGCTACAACCCATTATCAGGTGATAACTGGACAGCTGGGCTCTGCATTGGGAAACTGAGTTTCAGCTCCTAATTTCTCCCTCCCACCCAGGACTCAAACTACATTGCTAGACCCTTAGAGCGTCTGTGGCTCTGGCAGCAGCAGGATTGAAGAGGGACATGGTGGGCAGCTAAAGCAGTCATGACAGTGCTCCGGGGTGTGGAGCAGGTGACTCAGAGGCTGATGGGCCTGCTGAGCAAGCACCAGCCAGGTGAAGGCACGGTGGCAGCAGCTGCTAAGCATCAAGGGCAGGTGCTGGATGGGCTGCCGGATGTGCAGGATGGTGCAGAGGCTGCTGAGAAAAATCCTTTCAGATTCAAAGCTATACTGGCAAAAGAAAAAAAGAAAAGGTGCAACTTGGAGGAGGTCTAGGATACAGCAATTTAGAGACTGAATCATCTGAGCAGACACACAAACTGGGACCATCACATCCTTTTCCATAGATGTTTTAACAAGAATTGTGCTTTGTTTATCTAAGATGGCAATCCCCACACTTGCTATCTCAATACCTCATAATCATCCTAACCATTGTGAAATGGTTAAAAAAAAATGTGCCCTAGTTATGAACCCAAGTGCACTTTTTTTTTTTTTTGAGAAACGGAGGTTCAAAATCAATTCACAGTATATTCATCCAAACCAAATGTTCCAGTAAATATTTAGACCCTAAAGTTGAAAATAGCATAAGTTAAATTTGGGTTTGGGGGAGGGTTCTTTCTGTAACTTATTATTCCAGGTGAGGGATGCATGGCCAAATTGCATAAGGTATATGTTTCACTGTAGAGTGTCAGAGTTCATGAACTTGGAGTCTGACGATACTGCAGCATGTCTGAAGTTTGACGTTACTGCTCTCTAGAACCTCAGGTAACTGGAGATGCAATTGATTAGAGCTTTGTTTGACATTCCAGGAGATGGAGTGTGCAGAAAGGAGGGGAAACTAGTCATTAGGGAGCACTTTCAAAAACAAGACAAACAATAATATGTTTCTAGTATGTATCCATGTTCCACCTGATCTCTTATACCTTTGACTACCACAACCACAGTATGAGGAGAAATCAGCAGCAGAATGATAATTTCATTCATAAAGCAAGCATTCATCTAGTCTCACTCATGAGACTTGACACACCAGGACTTGAAAACCGAGCCAGGCTTCTTAGAACAAGATGGTCAACAGTCAGAATTCTGTTACTGTCTCTGCTGTCCAGATCATTAATGGACTTCCTGTCTACTCTGCATCAGCATCACCAGCTGTGGATCAGCAGGTGGTGCTAATACCCATAATCAGAGTTTTAATCAAACCTATAATAACAACCTCAATTTATTGAGCTCTAAATTTATGTCAAGTACTATGCTCAGCACTACATATGACTTGTCTGCTGCTGTTACTGCTAAGTCGCTTCAGTCGTGTCCAACTCTGTGCGACCCCATAGACGGCAGCCCACCAGGCTCCCCCGTCCCTGGGATTCTCCAGGCAAGAACACTGAAGTGGGTTGCCATTTCCTTGTCCAATGCATGAAAGTGAAAAGTGAAAGTGAAGTTGCTCAGTCGTGTCCAACTCCTAGCAACACCATGGACTGCAGCCTACAAGGCTCCTCCGTCCATGGGATTTTCCAGGCAAGAGTACTGGAGTGGGGTGCCATTTCCTTCTCCAATGCATGAAAGTGAAAACTGAAAGTGAAGTTGCTCAGTCGTGTCCAACTCCTAGCAGCACCATGGACAGCAGCCCACCAGGCTCTCCCGTCCCTGGGATTCTCCAGGCAAGAGTACTGGAGTGGGGTGCCATTGCCTTCTTCTTGTCTAATCGCTACCAAAACCCCCAGCAAAACAGGTACTACTGCCCCTCCTGTGGTATACATAAGTAAACAGAGTTTGGAGAGTTTGAAAACCCGGCTAAAAGTGCAGAGTGAGGAACTGGAAAAAAAATTTTGACCAAAATTAGGCCTGCAAAGATGCTGACAATAGGGGGAAGCATGCGAGTTTGGGAAATTAAGGGGCATATGGAAACTCTCTGCTCAGTTTTTTGGTATACTTAAAACTACTTAAAAAAAATACAATCTAGGGACTTCCCTAATAGTCCAGGGGTTAAGACACCACTTTTCAATGTAGGGGGCACAAGTTCAATCCCTGGTCAGGGAACTAAGGTCCTACATGCCGCAGGGTGCAGCCAACTATTAAAACAAACAAACAACAACAACAAAAAAAACTCAAGTATCTTTAAATAAATAAAAATAAAAGTCTACTGATACATATTTTAAATAATAAATACAAAATATGTGTGTGAGTCTATAAATATACATAAATGTGAAATGGTGAATCTAGTGAAGAGTAGAGGGTGTACCTTCATGTTATTCCACTTTTCAAAATGAGAAGTTCTGAGAAATACTAAGGAATAGATGAAGAAGTCTACAAAATAATATTTAAGAATATATAAAATAAAATCTAAAAAAAATTAGACTCGAGAGACTCCAGAGTCTGAGCTCTGAAACAGATTTTGCAACATATGTGTGATACGTGTTATCAGCTAAGAAACTTGGAAGGAGTTAGGAAACCCTGAAAAAAAATGAAGCCTGAGGATAAACACTTTGGTTTGCAAATCTCTTTCCACAGACGATGGTGACAGAATTGGCACATCCACCATGCCCTGGGCAAGCTCCTGTGTTTGGGGTTTGATCTACTTGATGGCAATCAGCCACTTCAACCACCACCTCCAGTGAATAAGTCTGCAACCCGTATCGGGCAGGTCAGGATATTACAGAACCAAGGAAGCAGAAGGACAGCTGTGAGAGAGGTGCACTTGCTTTGTATGTGGAGGCTCATGTGTATTTTGATCAGTAATTCCCCAAACTCAGCTTACATAGATGCGTAAGAAAAGGGGACCCATTGAAAATGTCTTGTGTTATGTATCTCACAAAGCATTCAAAATCAGGCTTCAGGAAGAACTGAAATGAAGTTCAAACTCAGCAAAAATTCAAATATCATCAAGATTCTCTTTCTCTTTTGCCTCTGAGTTACTGACTTTATCTGTTACATCAGATGGGAATATGTGACAGCAAAAAGTTTTTGAATATAATATCTTTGAACAGCCTCAATTCCATTCCAAATTTTGGGGGAAGAATTCTATTGGCCTCCTGCAGGTAAGGTGCCCACACAGGAATAATTAATATAGACATGTTTTCTGAGAGCTTTGCCTGGATTGAGGCTAACTCCAGTTTCCTCCTGACTGGAAATGTCAGTGAATGGAATGACCTCATCTAGAAATCTAAGGCACTAAGGTGTATCTCTGGATACACCTGCTCTCATGGTCTCCATGGCCCCCATGTCTGGGTATCTCCATCAGATGCCACAACCCCCTCTCACCACCTCCACAAGCACTGCTATAGAGAATGTTCACCACCCACCACTGCAGCCCCTATGGTTCCAGCTAAAGTTCAGTATGTGACAGCAAAATTTCACACATTACATTTGATATTTCCCCTGCATGCTCCTAGGAGACAAACTGGCAGATTTGTCTCTTTTAAAAAAAAAAAAAACAAAAGCTCTTGATACCCAGGAAGATAAAAGGAAAAGTATTGGGTTGGTCAAAAAGTTCGCCTGGGATTTTCTGTAACGTCTTATGGAAAAACCCAAATGAACTTGTGGCCATCTCAATACAAAAGAACATTATTGGCCTCCTGCAGGTAAGGTGCCCACACAGGAATAATTAATATAGACATGTTTTCTGAGAGCTTTGCCTGGATTGAGGCTAACTCCAGTTTCCTCCTGACTGGAAATGTCAGTGAATGGAATGACCTCATCTAGAAATCTAAGGCACTAAGGTGTATCTCTGGATACACCTGCTCTCATGGTCTCCATGGCCCCCATGTCTGGGTATCTCCATCAGATGCCACAACCCCCTCTCACCACCTCCACAAGCACTGCTATAGAGAATGTTCACCACCCACCACTCCAGCCCCTATGGTTCCAGCTAAAGTTCAGTATGTGACAGCAAAATTTCACACATTACATTTGACATTTCCCCTGCATGCTCCTAGGAGACAAACTGGCAGATTTGTCTCTTTTAAAAAAAAAAAAAACAAAAGCTCTTGATACCCAGGAAGATAAAAGGAAAAGTATTGGGTTGGTCAAAAAGTTCGCCTGGGATTTTCTGTAACGTCTTATGGAAAAACCCAAATGAACTTGTGGCCATCTCAATACAAAAGAACAAGTGAGGAACCTCAGCAGGTGGACGGCTGGTGAGACGGAGTGTGTGCAGTCTGTCCCCATCCTTCCCTTCTTCTTCCTGTCTTTTCTCTTCCTTCTCCTGCCATGGGTTCCTAAATTCTTTGAATTTGTTTTCTCTACTCTCTCAACCATTGTTAGGAGAAATCTTCCATTTCTTATTTGTGATTCTAAGCAGTACTGAAAAAACTGTTGACAATTTAGGAAAGAGAGTTTTGGGCTGAGTACACAAAGAATTCATATTTAAAGCCATTAGGTTACTATTGAATTAATTAGCATGGTGCCTTATTTTCTGTAAAAAGGAGACTGAACAAATGTACCACACATTTTTATTCCTCTGGGACTTATTAAAGCACATGGGCATTTAACTTCTGCAAGATAATGATGCTGCACAACAATGTCATCCTGACAGGAACACTGTGAGAATACTCTGCAGATATCTTAACGCATAATCAAAATTATTGTTACCGAATTAAATCTGCCTTGGAATGCGAACTGAAGGATCAACTAGTAAAACAAGAAAATAGAGAAAAATCAGTATGCTTTTTTCTTACACAAGAAACCAGAGAGAAAATGCCATAGAGCATCATTGCTGACCCAGCAAAAGCTCTGGGTATGTGATATATTATGATGTTACTAGGCATTTATATATTTCAGGTCAATAAAAAGCAATCATTGAGGAAAATGTAGTAACCTTGGTTTGTGTAATAATGTTAAAATATAACTTTCATACACTTTTGGTTTTCTGCCCACATGCAAGATTTTGCCTAAGCCTAAAAGTGCTTTTTCAAGAAATACAGTCTATGACAGGTTGTGCATTTCTATAGCATCAGGGTTTTGCCTAATTGCATAATGCTTTGATATTTTCAACCAGCCAAGAAGATAGAAAATTCTTTAAGATGCTAAAAAGATTGAAAGTCCCCTGATCCAACTTATTACAAATAGTTGATAACGATGGACATTTATTTTCCTAGCAATATCACTCTGTATGAAGTTAAGTCATTTGGTTCTTTTTTCCATGCTCTCTGTTGCATAAAAATACACTGTGCCAGGCCCCTGGCGCTGTGAAGTTTGTTCCATCACCTGGTAGGTTTGAACAGACAAGTACTTTGGACAGACTGAGAAACATTTCTTTAAATGTCATTATATGACCTACCTCCAATTTACATGCAGACCAGTTGCTGAGGACCCAGCTGTAGCAGGGGGTCATGGGGCAGGTTTTGTGCTGGGTAAGCTCTGTGGGACATGGCCGGCCTTCTCCTTGGGTTGGCATAAGGATAAATCGAGTCCGGCTCCTCTGACCTAAAATGAGAAGGACAATGTCAGCTTTTCCGTTAGAGTTTGGCTAAAAAACCGATTAAAGAAGAGAATGTTGCCATATATATAAAAGTCTTCACTAAATCACGCTGAACTTCGTCATGTCCAGGTTTCAGTTATTTTGCTATTTTAATTTAGGTTTCCATGGAGATACAGGTCATCCAAGGTCTGCATATGCTTGTGGATCTGAAACTCTGTCTTCTACTTCAGCCATCCTATGTCCAAACTCTGTACTGTTGCCAAATAGACTGATCCCGTAAACACTGGCAGAATGTTAATTCATTTAATAAATATTTCTTTATTAAGCTCTAGAATAACCAAAGCATGTGCGATGTGCTAGGGGTGCAGTGATAAAACAGCCCGATGTACCTCCTGCCTTCACAAACCTTACATTCTAGTCTAGAATCACCAATATTAAGCAAAAAGAGAATGGCATTTCCTATGTTAGGTTCTAAATCATCAAGTGAGATAGAAAATTGCACATAATCCAGATTACTCTAGAAAATTCCCTAGTGTGGTTCCAGTACTGTCACTCCATTAATTCAACATGACCAGTTTTCCTAGAGTTTAGGACCAATTTCTCTTTTTCACTGAATAGAAGATAAAGTTGTTAACTTGTGTGAAGAAGCCATGATGTTTGAAAAACATTTTTTCCTAATGAGAGGAAATTGGTTAATAAGAATGGCTCAGGAAAGAGCAGGACTCTCATGTCATCTTATACCCACTACTAGGCATCAGGTCATAAACTTACTAATAGGAATAATGGATGGAATTTAAATGTTTCATGCTCCTGCTTTCTCTCCCACTCACTCTTGTCTTTACTCATTTGTTACTGATGAACTATGGTATGCATATAGTTTCCTTAATATTAGTCACCTGTGAATCCAATGCCCTTCTACTGTTGTTATAAAATTAATTATGTGATTTTATTCATGATAAATGTGAAAGGAAAAACAGAAGGTTCTCCGAGAGCATGTTTTGGGGATGCCACCCAGTCTGCGAAAGAATCAGAGAATATTACCTTGAGCAGTTGAGCTTTAAACAGAAATCTGAAGAAGTAAGTCAGACGTGATGTACAGAGAGTGGCCCACTGACCCACACAGGAGGAACAGCGTGTGAATAGGTCATGAGGTACAGAGGAGAAGGACAGGTTTGAGGACCTGACAGAAGGCCAGTGTGGCTGGACAAAGAGAGCAAGGAACAGAATAGATTGAAGGAATACTGTTAAAGTTATTAAAAGTGAGACTCAAAGATTATACATTTATATTTTAAGAGAAATGGGCAGATAGCAACGACTTCACTTCTGCATAGAATTTACTTGAAAACCTTAGGTAAGCATAATTCTCAGATGTCCTCAAGTTCAGGGAGAAGTAAGGATAACTAACACATTCAGTGGACTAGACCTCTTAGTGGTCACCAGAATATTATCATAGCTATGGTGGAAAGTCAATTCTCTTTAAGAAGACCCTTGAAGAAAACTAGGATATTCTCATCACTGCATTCTAAATTCCTTGAGGCCTGAGACTCTGTCTCTAACATGAGACTCCCTATATATTAAGCACTAATTGAATATTTGTTTAATTCATATTTTTGTAAACTGTCTCTATGATATTATCTGGTGCGCAAACATGTGTGATGCTATTGCTAAGCAATGTTCTAAATACTTATATACTGACTCACTGAATAGTCATAACAGTCCTAGAGGAAAATTCTATTATTTTCACATATTATAGATAAGGAAATTGCAGCACAGAGTTTGTCACTTCTTTAAGGTCAAAAACTTAGTAAGCTGCAGAACAGGATTCAAACCCAGAAAGTTTTGCTACAGAGATGACTGTATTAGCCAAGATGCTAATGCAAGAGAACATCACGTGAGGGCCCAGACAAGACAGCAAGGAATGGACTGATCTAGGTCTTCTATGGGAAACAGAAAAGAAACATAAGGTGGCAGTAAAATTTGTCTTGTTGGTAACTGAGGCTTTGTGAACAACAGAACCTACAAATTCTGCATTCCTGGGCACACAGCAGAACATTTACATTTAGATCAATGTTCCCTCCCAACATCACTCAAATCAAATCATAGTTGCTGGACATCACCTTATTCATATGAAACTTTGTCCCTGCTCAATGAATGCGTTTGGCTCAATATTTCACATTAACTCTTACTTAAATACTCTTCAGTTTTATAATAATCTTTATGTTTATTCTCTTGAACTAAATATTATTCTAATGTCATTATAATTGCATCCTGTTCTCTATCCATCTTTGTAAGACTAATGACAATGTAGTGTCACCTTTATCACAGCTAAAGAGATTCTATTTCATTAAAACCAAATCACTTCAAGCTTGTTCTTAAATTGATGGCATGCATCACTGCCATTCCTTTAGGACTATTTTATTTATTTCCACTAAAGTGACAGATATTTTCTGCTGGACATAGATGTGGGGTGGGGGAACCTAATGAAGTCAATAGAAAAAAAAAAAAAAGATGAAGTCCTCTAACCACTCACTGAAAGGCCAGCCATATGATTTCTCTGCTTTTTGCTATCCAAACACAAAGATAAGCTCAAACAATGTCAGCTATTACCAAGAAGCATATAATTCTACATTCTGAAGTATATTATGTTTTTTTTTTTCCTTTTTTGATTATTGGGATATAATTGCTTGACAATGTTGTGTTAGTTTCTGCTCTACAACAAAGTGGAGCAGCTGTATGTATGTGTGTATCTCATCCCTCTTGAGCCTCCCTCTCATCCCCTATCCCCATCCCACCCGTTTTAGGTCATCACAGAGCACAGAGCTGAGCTTCCTGCGCTACACGGCAGCTTCTCACGAGCTATCTCTCTTACCCATCGTAGTGTATATATGTCAGTCCTAATTTCCCAGTTGGCCCCACCCTTCCCTTCCTCTTCGTATCTACATGTCTGTTCTCTATGTCTGCATCTCTATTCCTGTGTCACTATTAAGTTCATCTGTACTGGTTTTCAAGGACAAAGAAGTAGTCGCTCAGTCGTGTCCAACTCGTTGTGACCCTTTGGACTGTAGCCCGCCAGGCTCCTCTGCCCATGGGATTCTCCAGGCAAGGATATTGGAGTGGGTTGCCATTTTCCTCCTCCAGGGGATCTTCCTGATCGAGGGATTGAACCCATGTCTTCTTTGTCTCCTGCACTGAAGGCAGATTCTTTACCCCCTGAGCCACTGGGGAAGCCCAGCACAACCTCGATGGGTGGGATGGGATGGGATGGGGTGGGAGGTGGGGGGGAAGCGCAAGAGGAAAGGGACATATGTACACCAATGGCTGATTCACATTTATGCATGGTAGAAAACAACACAATATTATAATTATTCTTGAATTAAAAATAAATAAAAATATGTGATGTATATAATATATAATGGAATATTACTAGGCCATAGAAAGGAACAAAGTTGGTTTATGTGTAGTGATATGGATGGACCTAGAGTCTGTCATACAGAGTGAAGTAAGTCAGAGAGAGAAAAAAAAATATTTTATGTTATGTTTAACTGGCTAATATTAATATTCAATAAGAAAACTTTGTCTATAAATGCATGAGAGTATAAAAGGTACTTGCTTTACCTTAAGTTTCTGTGAGGTACTATCTTTAAATAAGTTCCTTTTTAAATCAGGAATCTTATAAACTAAACAATCAGAGAAAGTATCCCACAATTAGGAACTTTCCCCACAATTCCTGAAGTTGCAAATATAATATCTAGCTACATGGAATACAAGGAGCCCTGCCATTTCCAGTGGTCTCTGGAATTCTAAGCACCATATTGGATGTAATACTCAGCCTTGCACCTATCTCTCAGCCTGGTTATTCTAAAAGGGACCTTTAAGGACAGAAGACTTAAGGAATTGTTTTGATGATAGGGGTTTTCATGTGAGAGATAAGACAGTGGAAAATGTAGCCAAATGAAATATATTTAAAATTATGATCTGTTGTAGAATATGAGAAAGACCATTTTAAAGCAGCTGATGTATGATGCAAAGAAACCTGGCCTTGGCATCAAAACTCTCTATCTGGAAACAGTTCTCTCAAGTTAATAGCTCATAAATGATGTGACTGTATGAAAGTACCTTAACCCCTCTAAGCATCAATTTCCTCTTCTGTAAAATAAAATTAAGTACACAGATAGTCCTCATTATCTGAGGATAATTCACAATGGGGAAAATGCCACTTAAAATTAGTTTATTTCATAGGAATTATATTATTTTAAATACATAATAATCTCTAAATGGGACTTATTGTGGAACTAAAAATATCCAAGTGGGTTTATTTTATCTAGTATCAACTACCACTATCATTATCTAATATCAATTATATTTATTTTATCTAGTATTATTACATGAAGATAATGACAACTATGCAGTTATTAACACAAGGAACAAATAAACTATTGATATTTCTTAATCATAATTTTATGACGACCCTAGGAAGGGTTTATTGTTATCATGTGGGTTTCATAGTTTGGTCATAGAATCTATTATTTTAGTTACTTTTGATCAATTTTCTCAAGAGCTCCCTTTAATCTTTTGTGTACAGATGGCCTAATTTTGTGCCCCTTTCTTATGGGTACACATTCCATTTGCAGCTAGAGATGTACCAGCAAACACCCTGATGCAGTGACAGAGCACATGTTTCACTCCAGGAGGCTCATTGACTGGAGCTGGCTTTACAAGCGGTCAGTTCATCTGTGGGTATTTTGATAGTATGAGGAGTTCTGCTTCCCACAGATCTTACAATTATGCTGGTTCAGGTGAAGACTAAGGAGATGCTGAGGACTCCTTGGACTAACCTCATGTTGGTTATATGAATGAAAATACACCATATGGAAACTACAGCATATCTGAAATATAGTAGGTGCTGGCTAAGTCAATATTTTAAACGTTTATTTTGACGACTACTATTTTATATCAGTTCCTTGACCTGGCCCTGGAACAAGCCTGTAATGGGAATATAAAGTAT